CAAACAATTTGCCAGGCGTGTCCGGGGCAGGTCTGACTCGCAATCACACGCCGCGCGCCCTAGCAACAGATTCAAACTAAGGATTTCTTTCTTTCTCGCTACCGCTTACACAGTAGAGAGAAAGTTATGTATTACAGCGCGAAAAACGGCGAATCTTCGGCAGAAAAACTCTTATTACAGGGCCTTGGAACAAAAAAAGGATAAATCCTGTTGCTATATTTAGAAATCTCTCTTTAAAAAAAATCTCTAACACATGGTGTAGGCAAAATCTGTTTTGTGGGTCCTTGATACCGAAAAATCGAATGACGGCAAACCGTCTAACCGTGTCCCTGAACAACGCTACACTTTTCAGCAGATTTTTTTTCCAAAATTGGTGTCCTCTAATCGATCTGGCTGATGTAGCAGCCCCTTGAATTCGAAACCGATATTTAATTTGGGGGTGTACTTTACATGAAGCACTAGAGACATTTTCAAAATGTCCAAAAAACTGACTCCAACGTTTTTGATTAAATTTTGTTGGATAGTGTACAGAAGTTTAAAAAAATTGTGTAGGACTCATTTTCGTTGAAAACTGATATATCTAAAATTGGAAAAATTAAAAAAAAATTAGCTGCTTTGGCAAACTACGATTAAAAACATAGTGATTTTTCCCTCAATGAAATATGTTCCCTAAAAATTGACTTTGAAATAAAGTCACGTACAATTTGTCGGAAATTTGAGCCGTTTTCGCGTAATTTGTGTGAAAGTAAATTGTGTGGACTGAAAATTTGTAGGTGCTGTTTTAGCACTCGCCTGTCGCCTCTTAAACGAGAGATTTCTAAATGCAGGCTCATTTCCAACAGATTATCCGGAGATGTTTATGCAATTTTTGTAGCTACATTTTGCAGTTATAATAAGTTTTCGTATAACTTCGCTGATAGGTGAGGTTGCGTAGTTCACATGTTCATAATAAGCGCATTTCATGAAGCGAAAATTCGCATTTAAATACATTACGAATGACGCTTATTGTCCCTCAGAACATTTGTGTTTCAGTCACGCAACAAAAACAACAAATTCCTTTATAATTTCACATTCGCGATAGGTAGTACATCTTCAGAAGTCAATAACTCTAAACATAAAGCATTAAGCACGCCATGGAACGTACATGTAGATCACCATTCAAGCGCGAGTTAATATGTAGTAATTCAAAGTACATCCTTCGATTAGTTAAACCAAAAATGGAAGTCATGTACAGACAACTTTATTAAATGGAGAAAGCGCGGCAGTGATAAAGCCGGTGAGTGGTGAGGGGGAAAGGGGAGGGAGCCCGCTGCGCTTTGCAGTGCCAGTGGAAAGGAGTCGAGTCGAGTCGAGTCGAGTCGAGTGAGGGGGAAGGGGTGGGTAGGTGGAAGGGAGTGGAGAGGAGGGAGAGGAGGGGAGTGATGGGGAGTGGAGGTGAGTGATGGGGAGTGGAGGTGAGTGATGGGGAGTGGAGGTGAGTGATGGGAGTGGAGGTGAGTGGAGTGGAGGGGAGTGGAGGGGAGTGGAAGGGGGGAGTGGAGGGGAGGGAGTGGAGTGGAGGAGTGGAGGGGAGGGAGTTGGAGTGGAGTGGAGTGGAGGGGAGGGGAGGGGAGGGAGGGAGGGGAGTGGAGGGGCCCGACGACTGCAACTTCTCCAGTATTGATTTTCCAAGCGCAACTCGGGACCCCTTTCCCCGTTCCGCCCCGCCCCAACTTGCAACGCCGGCGCCAGCAACCTTGGGGGCGGGACGAGCTGGGATTGAGAAGAGTTGATCGAGTCACGTCAACCACGAGGCTCCTTCAAATAGTAAGCGAAACTTCGTCCAAGTCGCGAGGGGCGCTGCGCGGCGCTCCCGGGAATCTGTCGCACACAGCATTCACACTCACGTCCGCCATTTCGGCGTCGCTACGAGTGATCAGAAAGGACAAAGGAGTGAAATTTCGAACAGTCTCCAAGCACACAGTTGAGTGATACTACTCTGAGTAAAATCAAGGCGTTCAATTGAAGACAGATGATTCGAAAACCCCGGAAAAAAGTAAAAAATCAAAGGCATAATCGGAGACTGGCGTCTAGCGTCAATGAAGTGAATTCAATCCGTGCATGTGTTTATGGAGTGCTATCGCCGCATTGCGGTAGGCGAAATTGCATTAGAGATAGGTGTCAGTGTTGCAACTGTACACCCGATTGTATAAGACACTTGGATAGGAAAGTATCGGAAAGTTGGGTTCCATGTCTTCTTACTGAAGCACAAAAGAACTAGAGGAAAAACATTGCAGTCACGACTTCTGAATCTGTTTAAAGAAGAATGTGGAGGCTTTCCAAAGATCGTTTAGTGACCTTTGATAAAGCATGGATCCACCACTATACCCCAGAGAACAAGATTGTGGAGTGTAGGGAAGTTGAGAAGGCGCACCGACCAAAGACAAGAGTAGACTGTCAGCCGGGAAAGTTTCGGGATTCAAACATGTATTGTTGATTGACTACTTCATGCTGTCTACTACTGCCAGATGTTGAGTGTTGTCAAGAATGACTGAAGCACCGATTGGCGACGTCTCCTGCCCGCGCGGCACCGCATTCGGCTCATTCGGCAGCTCAGACTCGCGACATTGCTCCACCTTACAGACTCGCGCCCCTGTGACCCAGGAGGCATTCGCAGGCACATTTCAAGTCTGCGGTCGGCAGTACGTGCGCAATCGGCTACTTGGGGAAGACATCGTTTTCCTCCCATGAAGGGATTCCAAAGCTTCCTCTGCGATGGAAAAACGAATTTTTGACCAAGGAAACTATGTAGAAAAATAAGGTACTCCAATCACCAATAAAGCTCTGTTAAACATTCCGGTACATATTTGAATAACTTCTGTACTATGATGGCTACTTTCTTTAGTGAGGTGAATGTTTTTATCTCGGAAATTGGTGAGGTGCCTCTCCTTGTTGTGAGATCCGGCGCCGACCTACACGTCGGCTTGATGGGGATTTCCCCCTCCCGATATCTTCTCGCAGCGGAGCACCGCGTCAGCCGGAAAATCTCTAAGCTCCCGATATGTGTGGTATTTTTGTGCATGTGCGTTTGCGAGTAAGATAGGGCAAGGAAGGACAGATCGCGCGCGGTCCGTGGCACGTTTGAGGGGATATTGCTCCGCCGTTCGCCTAATATTAACAGAGAATGGAAAAATACGGATGAGAGCAACTGGCCACTCGAATTCTCCTCTAAACTGCGGCTGAATTCTACCTATGTAGCGAGTGAGCAAAATCCACCTAGGAGCTTGCGGTCAGACTCCGTGAAGAGCAGAAGCGCAGTTCTACTAAGGGTGGCTCAGGGCTACATTCATTGGGTATTGGATCGCGGCAGACAGGCGCAGGGCGGCACAGTAGGCAAATAAAACTCCTCCCATTACCCACTAGCCACGTATTTTATCAATATTATCAGTATAAATATCGACATGGGAATCGGTATTACCGTGGCACATTTATTAAAATAGTTGTATTAACATTGAAAACGATTTTTAGGGAATCATAAATAATTTGTTTTTATTATTTGAACTTTTAAAGTAATGATTTTTCCTCCTTTCAGTTCTCGTAGAACGAAATTCAACTTTTCTTTCGTGTATGGTCATTCATGAGTACGTCCATCCCCGCTTTTCTTCAAAATTACAAACCTTATTCCAATAATCAGGAGATTACCACAAACTTTTCACATTTAATTGTACCTGAACTGAAACATGAACAATGACAGCTATTTTAACCATTTCCTACCTCATGAAACATCCCCCATCCAACCTTGGTGCGAACGTTTTGGGCAGAGGAGGCGGCTGTAGGAGAGCACGACAAAGGCACTCGTCACAGGCCTCAATGAAGGCCACGCTCAAAGCCATTTTGGCGCCAGCTACTGGGGGCACTCCTCGCCGTCGCCCTCGCACAATGACGCCCGTCCAAGTCACCTGTACTAGTCGGCCAACACCTACCGCGCGACCGGGTGTACTATTTCAAAAATGAATTCGAAAAAGTTTCTTTTGTATACTATGCGATGTTTAATTGGCAACATCATATTTACGAGCAACTCGGGTCGTTTGTGTTCCATAAGATGTATTCGATCTGCGTTAAAGCGTGTTCTTTGTTTCGTTTACAGCCGAAACTTTTACAAATTCATTTGCAGAATGTGGAACAAAGAATACTACCTCTATGGCATAAAATGGAGAAAGCTCTCTACTCTCATTAAATCTATTCTTCTAATTTTCATTGCAGTCCGTACCTAGCATTTAAAACTCCTGATTTCGCGTTAGTCAAATCGCAGTTAGCTACATTTGAACTTCCTGCGCAAATAAACTTTGTATAATCATACCATCACTTAACAGTGTTGTTTCAGGTAATATCGCATCGTATTTCTACTCCTCACGACATCCCTAATACCGGCTACTAATACCACTAATGCCCCGTTAATGAAGGCTTATTGTATGCTCTGCAGGCCTCTGCCTCCTCCAGCGCCGCCGCACACGGGTCAAGCTCTCATCTTCTGGCGTGTGTGTTGTGGAGTTCATGAAAGTTTAAGTGTATGTAAAGGGAGAGGATACGAGAAAGAAGAGAAAGCGAAGATTGCGCGTGGATCGCGGCCCGTTTCGTAGAGCACTGCTGCGGCATACGCCTGGTATTGATACGAGACATCACGCAAAACATCCAATCAGAGCAGGCGCCCGCATCTGAATTCCACCTGGCTATGTCGAAGCCCCATCGGAGCTGGAACCCTCGGATTCGAAGAGCGCAGGCTGCGCATCACGCAGAATTGCGCTGCAATGCGCTTCCTCACACAGCGCCAGTGGCCACCAGTACCACAAGCCGGCCCCTTTCGCATGGTGTGCATGGGGTAGCGTTTGGTGCCATGTACGAGTATGTAGACATCACACCCGTAACGTGTTGTGTTTGGAACTTCCAATGTGTTATTCTTTGTGTCAAGTTCCGGCGCAACGGGGTGTGTGGGTGCCAATTGCAACGCCGCTGCCACTTACCTTTATCGTCTTGTTTTGTAACCGCAGGCCGTTGAGGGTGTTGATCGCTTTCTCCGCATCCTCTGGTCGGTGATAATTCACAAACCCGTAGCCCAAACTCTGACCTGAAACAGAAAGCAAACAAGAGCTCAGTACTCACTACAGTACACACTGCATGGCTCAAACATCACTCCCTTGTGTATGCCTGCTTCTGATACAGATTAGGTGTCTATAACGATTTGATACCAATAAAATGGATACAAAAATATTTGGTGATTGTTAAATGAAGCTGTTTTTACCCATTTCAAATAAGAAAAAGCCAAAACGAAGTAACAAGACTCAAATAAACTTCATTCGAGAACATTGAAAGGATAGGATCTTGGATGCCAGTGCTGCACGGATTGAAAAAGAGACGGCAAAACTAAACGGCTGTTGATAGGAAGGCAATAACCAGTTAAGAAGTATGTAAAATAATAATTGGATGATATGATATAATATAATATAATATAAAAAAATATTTTTATTATTATTATTATTATTATTATTATTATTATTATTATTATTATTCATTCTTAACAGAAATTGGAATTGCTGCCAATGTGTTAAACATTGTGACATTTTCTTGAAAGAGAAACTTCCAATTGTGTATTCAAATATATTCTGTGAGTAGTCTTCAACTCTACAGGCAGTAAAATAATATGTAATTTCCGAAAGGGTGTTTGCGTTTGGGGTTTGCGTAGACGTTTTTGGAAAGTTGAAGAGAAGGGAGCAATTCGGATTGATTCTTTCCGGACACTCAACTGCTTTGCTCATTGGTCCAGTTAGTGTAGTGATTGCTTTTTCCAGGGAGGTGGCGGTGTCCCTCCGTCGCTGGAATGAGAGATCCAGCTGCACGTCAGCTTTCAAGGGATCCCCCCTCCAGGACCGCTACACTTACGTAATAAAACATATTTTACCGTAAATATGATCCCGGACGTTCCCCCTTTTTACTCTATTAGAATAATTATTCACACACCGGTTTTGAGGAAGCAGCTCCCAACACTATCTGAAAATATTGTAATGGTCCCCCATAAAATAAATTATATTTATTAAATCATTATAATTGTATCATTAAAGGTATAATTCAATTCTCCTTGTAGTATGGCTTATGCACTAATACAATGTCATATGTAAATTACGTTTAATGGGAAATGGGGGCTCACAAACGTAGTTACCCTTCCTTAGATTTTAGGCTGCTCACGTCTGTGAAAGCATTGCTTGTCGAAAAAGCACTGAAAAGTGAAGGGTCTGTCGTGTCAGAATGAAATTCAACTTGATTTTTTGAATGTTCAAATCAAGGTCACACGTTCATATGAAAGATTTCAGCTGTCGAAATACAATAGAACTTACACTATCAAAATTACTAATATCGGGATTAATTCGATTTTCGCCTACAGAGAGGAATTGTGTAGCCCTCAGAAGGTATCCCAGCACATCTGAATTACGTAAAAAAGTGTTTGTTAAATAAGCCTGGATTGAGCAAACTCAAGATGCGAATACACTTGTATATAATGCATTCTAAGGAGTCTACAACGTGGCCACTGACCCACGACCTTTTTCGCCCCACACCAACACACAACCTGTTGGCTCTGTCCTTCCCTTCCCTCCCAGCGCCGTCGTCCTTAGCTCTCCATCGTATTCTAGCAATGGAGCAAAATATAAAATCTTTGTATATTGTTTCTACTAAATATTACTCTGAAATCGATACAAAAACTAATCATGCTCGCTTATATTAAACATTAGTCCATTATTTCGTTATTGCATTTTACGTCGTATACACACAATATGAGTGTGTATGTATATATATATATATATATATATATATATATATATATATATATATATATATATATATACACTCACATTTCTAATTTTCATGGTTTTGTTATTATTACTACTGTACTTCAAACTCAATCCCAGCACATCTGAATTACGTAAAAAAATTTACTCTTTCTTGCCAACAAATATCACTCTGCCAATAATACCCAAAGATCCAGCATTCCTAAGACGAGAAACAAAATTTAATAAAACTATTATCTGTGTGCTTGCCAAAATGTACGCAGTTGCATTGGGATACTCATCTCTCAGTTATGTGTTAAATTACATACCCAACTCAGTAAAAACCAACGTCAAATGAAATTAAATACGATATTCAGAATGGTCACTTCCGTGTGAACTTGAAAAGTCAAGTAAAGAACAGTCAGCAGTAATTCCAAATTAAAATGTCTTCTTGCAACGCACTACAACACGCGACCCAGCTGTACTCGAAGGGGAGGGGCGTGGGCCGCGGTGCGCACCGTCGCCTTGGCCGCGCCTCCAAATTCTCAGCACGCCCTGATTAGCTTCGCCGCGAAAATACAGCGCCATCGTCTGTCCACTCGTTAGTTTATATTTATTTGAGCCGTCGCGGCGCTCTTGATTTCTACGGCTTGTAATTGCCCCCGCGCAGGGGGGGGGGGAGGAGAAGGTGAGCCCAACCGACGACAACGAAATGCGAGCAAAGCACCAAACCACAATTGGAAGCAGGCAGGCACAACGCACACGCTTCGTCATTCACTCTTCGCAACGAGCCGTAGGCACTTCGCACATTCCTCTACAGTCGGCCATCACACTTAATGGGAAAGGAGTGGTATCGCAATAATTCCCCAACACCAGCGCTGTCACCGCCACATCAATGGGAGCGCAGCGGTGCTGGTCACCTCAACGCGCCCTTCCTGTGGCGGGGCGCCCGCGTGGCCCGGAGCCAAGAGCCCAAGACGGCGGGGAGAGCGCCGACCCCCCTCCTCCTCCTCCACCGTCTTCTTCAAATGCTTGCCGCCCCCACGCGGAGTTTTCCTCGTCGCCTCGACAGATCAACCGATCGACCAACCGCATCCCATCCCATGCTCTTCCTACACGTGCAAAACAACTTCGATTTTTCTCACATTTCGTACTTCCCAACACACAATAAATAGGAGTGGAGCCATTTGATCATGAATCTAACTGTCATTTTATTTGTTCAATCGTCAGTGTCCCAGGAAGCCACCCGAATTCATTTCCATACACATGTTCCTCCTCCATCATTAAAGATTATTTCGAAAATGAGCTGTGTTGAGTAGATTCAAGGGGAGGAAATGTGGAATTTAACGAAACTTGGCGAGAAGGCTATTCCTTCGTAAAGCACAACGACCGCGCGTTTAAAATGTCGCGCCAACGAGCGAGGCACTGTAAGTAGCGCGACAGGCACATTTCTTCAAATCCCACCTGCGCCCTGTTTTCTTGTTTTCCAAATATTTTAATTAATACGAAGAGAAGAAGCTTATTCGGTTTTTCACGTAATGCTCCTGTTTGTCACTGATATTGGGTTTTGGTTTCTTACTGTACCACATATAAATTATAAGTAAAGAAATCAAAATCAGTTTCCAATCACGTTTAGGGGGGTTATACACTAGAAAAAACGCAGCCGAGAGATGAGCTAGAAACCTTTCACACCCCTAGATGCGTAGAGATGTTCCAACGGGGCGCCCTCCAACAAATTTCTAACAACGATCTCTGAGAAGAAGAAAAATACCAGCCACTGGCTGTTAAATTGAAAGACTTGTACGGATTGTGAGCATTGGAATTACTTCCAATGGTGCAGCAAATGGAGATCGCCAAAGAATGGCAAGAGACCGCAAAGAAATTAAATCCGAAAAGCATTAAGGGAGCATCCAGTATCCGGCATGATGGCGAACAGCAACTGCAGTCCGGAAATTCTGAAGTCTGATTTAATGGAAAGAAAATAAACTACCGTATTCCCGTTTTACTTTCGGTGCAAACCATTGCTACATAATTTATTTATTTCCCCTCCCTAGTTACGCCCACATGGGTGACACCGTACATTAGTCCCTGTTCTAAAACATTCTTTCCGCTCCCCAAGATATGATCATTATAATTAATATGTATATTAACGTACAGTTTACACTTCCCATAGTACGTCACAGTTTTTTGACGTCAGCAGCCCCTACTCTTCTACTGCATCAACAATCTCCAGAACAGTTCCCACGCGAATGCCACGTGGTACTTTCTTAACAAGGGCTTCAAGCCGGGAGAATGGTGGATGGTAACAACACTTCCAGTCCCATCGAACAAATTAGCGACAGAATGGAATAGCCAATTCAGCCACATGAGCAATTCCTTTGCCACTCCTTATACCAAATTACACTGCGAAGCCTGTCATTTGGTATATCTGCTGAGTAAATCTTCGCACTGATTGGCATCACTTCACGACCGTTGGCTTGCACAGGGCTGTGGAAGCCCTCAATTGTGTTGACTTTCCGCCAGCCGAAGAATGTTCACTTCAAAACTATTTATCTCGCTAAAATTCAAGATAAAGTGCACTTCTAAATTTATTTAAAGAAGTAATATTTACATGAAATATTGTTTAATTGCAAGTTGGCCTACTTTGAGTACAAGACGACGATAATAAACGTGAACAGCAGGTGTTCTTCGATAATATGCGATTGGGCGCTGTACATTCACATTTTACTTCACTTTTAATTTATCAGAAAATCCACAATGGTATTCTCACATACTTGTCAACAAATTTTGTATCAATTCTTTATCTTCAAGGATGATTTCGAGTCATTCATGGCAGCTATCACAACTTCAGTCTCTCACTGAAGTGCTTATCACAGTGCACACAGGTGATCTGGCTGGCGACAGAATAGAGCGCTACGGACTTCGGCTATGTCCAGCTCTTTTAGAACCTGTCAAAATAATCGTCCGCTTGTCTCAACTAAGATATTTAGAAAACAGGTGTTAGGAAGTAGCTAGACAAATTAAAAGCAAATTGACATCGATGGCGAAAATTGTAAGAGAAAACTCTGCTCACGCGTCACTTGGTGGTTAGTCTCATTTTAATTGAGAGCAAATAAGTCACAAGTAAAAATCTCTATCCGCTTCTGACCCTCTTTCCCGTGATTTTGCGCCCTGTGCATCACTGGGACCGGTTCCTCGGGAGAGAACGTTTTGGAAGTAGCTTCATACTCTGAGAATAAATGCAACCATCGCCATGTCTCTTCGACTGCGCGCATGCACGTAGTCTGAACACCTTCAACACCTATCC